CACCTCATCTTGTACAAGAAAATATCAAGATAATTTTTTAAACGATAAATATCATGATAAAAATCATAATATTATCCTTTAACAATAAAAATTATCTCCACTTTTCCATCCGACGGTTGAGAACTACGTTTTCTCAACGGCCTTGATTACATGGGCCGATGGTGTAAATTTGGGTCCAAACAGATATGCATACATCCATCATGAAATTTTGTTGACATGTGGAAAGATATGAATTTTTGAATAAGGAGCTTGTTGTGCAGAAGCACACCACGGGCCCCACACGCACCCACATGTCGGTATTGGGAAGAGATTGCCTCCGGATCTCTCCCATCAAGTCCTAGGGATTCGGAGATCCGGATCCTTGAAATTTGATTAAACGGTTACAATTATTATAACTTTTAGAGAAACTCTTGATTGTAGTCGTTAGATTAAATTTCAAGGGTCAGGATCTTCGGATTCCTAGGATTTGGTGAGAGAGATCCAAAGAGGATCTCTTCCCGTCGGTATTGACAATATTCCCACCACTTTAGCCATCCAGGAGAAATAGGTATGAAATTTCACAAAAAGGCTTCGACGATATATGTGTGGTATCATTGCTCATAAAGTACTAAATAACTCTCCCTCTAGCTGATGTGGGATACAAATGTGACTCTAATCTCGGATTTGGATCTCATCCAAATCCAAATTGTGGAGATCCTAGAGATTCTCATATTTTAATCATTCATTGTATATCGTGCGGTCATAAATTATTTAAATTTTTTTTTTAAAATTAAACATAAATAATACCTAAAAAAAACTGATCGCATGATGTACGATGAACGACTAGGATGTGAAAATCTCAACCAAGAGAATCCGAGGAGATCCTCATGAGCTTCCTTGTAAAGTGGGAGACGGTCAGACCATAGACTTTGTTCCGATCCTTACCTACTGCTATCTTCAAATTTTGAGTTTCTTCATTCCTAGATCCTACCGATTGACGCTTGTGTTAATGATCTTACAAGTGCTCATGGTTTTTGGGATTTATACATCTAATATAACAAGTTTTTTAGGGTTCTAAAACCGCTTCCATTTTGTCGTGTCAATTCCTTTGCCTAGTTTACAAAATTATGATAAATTGATTAGGCACCATCAAAGCAAGAGTGTTTATTATGTTAAAACTGGATATATGGTTGCCCATGCTGCTGATGTATGAAATTTTTTCTTGGCTTGTATTGCATTTGGCTTATGGTCAAAGGTTGTATCATAACTAGCTTATCTCTAGTGGCAAAAGAAAAATATCTCATGTTATGGATTTGACTGCAGTGCTCCTAAGTAGTTGAAAGTCTTTGTAAGCAAAGAATTTTCATAAACCTTGAAAGCGCAATTATTTTATTAGCTTACTTCGTGGATTACGTAGGTTAAAACTCATGGGCATTCATAAGAAACTATAAATTAAGAAATTAAATTTTATTAAGTGCTCAAGTGTTGATGATTTTCTTTGTAATTATCATGTGGTATTATTATTTGTATATGCGTATTTCTCACACAATCATCTATTATATTGAAAGGAGATATTTTTTTTGTGAAGAATTGCATCACTATCAGTCTACTAATATCAAATTTGTTAATGACACAAAAGTGTGCATTATATGGGAAGTGTTTTTCACACATTCATTTTAACTTCTCACGCCTCTCATTTGTTATCATCGGATTGAACAAATTAAATGAAATAAACGGTCAGGATTAAACAGAGGTGTGAAAGAAGATAAAAATGGTATGCGAAAATCACTTTTTTATCTATGTGTGTGTATATATATCAAAGTATTGAAGAGGGAAGAAGAGAATGCAAATGACGTTTTACCGCAGTAGCGGAAAACAATAATGTCTATGTACTATAGTGCAAGTTCCATCCAACAATCATCCTCTCCTCTAAGGCTTTAACACTAAACAATTTAATTCATTAACGCTATCGATTGAAAACAAAAAAATACAAAAAAAAAAAAACAAAAAAAAAAAGAAGAGGAGATCTACCTGTCAAGGGGCATATGCCATAACTTGGTCTAAATTTGAACCAGCAGACCATTAGCTAAAATCTACATGAAACGTGGGTACTGGTGAGACTCAGATTGAAGTGGTACCAAGCAAAACTACACAAAATGGCACCGCCCAATACGTGCCACGTTGTTTCTAAGTTAGGCATATAACATGGACATGGGAGACGGATTTGATTTGGAACCGTGATATTGTTCTCAATTGACTGATAGGTTGTTCTTTGGTCCAGATCCCACCCGCCCAAATTCAACAAGTTCATAGAAACCTTTTTCCTCACAGATTTACGTTTCAATATAAAAATCAGTACTCCAGATGACACATGTTACTACCATTTTTTGTTTTGGTTCATCACATGCTACAACTTTTGAAGTTTGAATTATATTCCTTACACGAAAACGGCAATCAAATTCAATCACACCATCAATTACTGAATACATGCATGATATTCAACTAATACTAATTTCATATTTACTTATCTAAAATAGAAAAAATCATGATTCAGAGAAGGAAAAGAAGGAATCGGTATGAATCAACTAGCATTCCCAACTCTTCTATAATTGGATTATATTATGAAATTCACGGAAGAGTCGATAATTATGTATTTATTTTATATGTGTTAGTAAACACTAGGGAAGTAAGGAAATAGAATAATTTTAATACCCATTTTTAGTAAATTATTTGTACCATATTTATTAACTGCCTCTCTAATAGAGGTGAATTCAACCTATATATATCGGAATGAGCAGAGCCACAAATTTAGATCAGAAGGGGCACCTCATAAAGTTCAGTATATTTTTGTTATATATGTGGATGCAAATTTCTTCATTCTTGATCTTGGACAAAATTGCACCTACAAAACAATTAACATCTTTGGTTATGGCCAAAAGCCTCATGGGCCCACGATGAATGGGGGGAGCTTTGGCCGAAAAACCTCCGATGCCAAAGTTAGAATTTAGAGAGAAAAGTGTTTAAAGAGTTTTTGGAGTTTTACAAGAGTGTGGACTTAGGTTTTTAGAGAAAAATGGGTAGTATTTATAGGGCGTGGCCAGTCCCTTTTGGAGAAAAGGTGGCCGGCCTTTAGGATGCTTTTTGTGTGCATTTTGTGGTTTAATGTGTGAGTTATTTGGCAAGTGATGGATTAAATAGGTAATTAATCCATTAATTAGCCAATTAACACATTTTTGGAATGAATATTTTGGGGGTTATGTAATTTATGTGGAATATTTTGTAAGTTATGGAATGATAGCTAATTGATTAGCTAAAAGAGGGAAAAAGAGATAAAAAATATATGGAATGAAATAGGTTTTGGGAGTTACCTTGTAAGAAGGATTTGATGAGATGGTTTTTGAATTGTTACCTTTTTTGGGCACTTTAGACTTGGTTGAGGGATGACTGCACGCTACTCGCGCGTAGGAATCAAATTGTACCTCAAGGGTACTTTTGTCCTTTTTTGTCTAGAAATTCACATGTCACCTTGTGATTATTTTTGGTTGCACAATATGCCCCCACACTTGTTGGGTTGCTCACAGAAAAGGGCAACAAGTGTAGAGATTTTCTTGCACTAGGAAACTTTGAATTGTTTCCTATTTTGATGTTGATTCTCTCTTTTAATAGGAAATTAGATCTTTCTAGGAAAGGGAAATAAATTTCTCTCAAAGCCTATTTAAGTCCACCTTAAGTGGGTTGTTAAATCAACTTTGGAGAGCGATTTATTCTACCCTACAAGAGAGAGAAAGCTTAGAGGATATTTGTTCCCCCTCCCCTAGCAATCTTCTACACTTGCCCGTGCAAAGGATTGTCTTTCGTTGCTTTCTTCGTCTTCTCCGCACCGCACTGATGCAAGAAAAACATAATTCTTCTTGTCTTCTTCTTGGGTGGTGCTGCCACGGGGCAGTCATCAGGGTGATGCGGCACGTCTGCTGGTAAGGGCCAGAAGTCTGCTTGTCATGTGCCAATGAGGTGATGTGGCAGAGGCCATTGCTTGAGCAGCTTGGCTTGATTGAAGCCAATGATTGGTTCGGCATGGGCCGAGGAAGTGGCGTGGCATAGGCAATTGTTTAGGTTGCCACGTCTGGGTTGCCATTTGCTGCCTAGTTGATCTTCAAGCATTCGATCTTTTGAGCTATGTGGCTTTCTTGCACTGGAGAACTTTACTCATATGGGTGTCAGGGAATTAGTTTACCCTTTCGCACTGGAGATAAATTAGTTTACCTTATCGCACTAAAGAGCATTTAGTTTATCCTTTCGCATTGGAGAGCAAACTCATATGGGTGTCGGGGAATTATTTTACCCTCTCGCATTGGAAAACAATTAGTTTATCCTCTCGCACTGGAGAGCAAACCCATATGGGTATCGGGGAATTAGTTTACCCTCTCGCACTGGAGAGGAATTAGTTTATCCTCTCACACTGAAGAGCAAACCCATATGGGTTTCGGGGAATTGGTTTACCCTCTCGCACTGGAGAATGATTAGTTTATCCTCTCACACTGGAGAGCAAACCCATATGGGTTTCAGGGAATTGGTTTACCCTCTCGCACTGGAGAGCAATTAGTCTATCCTCTCACACTGGAGAGCAAACCCATATGGGTGTCGGGGAATTGGTTTACCTTCTCGCACTGGAGAGCAATTGGTTTTTCCTCTCACATTGGAGAGTAAACCTAGAAAGGGCTTTGAGTAGTTGTTATAGACATCAGTTGAGCCAGGCTTATAAGTAACTTCTTGAATCTTCATTGAGAATAAAGAAATAAATCAATTGTGCTGGAAGGTAGAAAATGCATAACAAACTGGATAATCTTTGGCTTGCGAGGCCTTGTTCGTCGAGCTGCTTGAGACTTCGAACTTATTTGGAAAAGCCCAAACGGGGTTCAGGGGGTGATGGAGACTTCCCTTGCTTATGTAGGCTGTTTCGTTGACCTATCAAGATACTCATCGCATCGATCCTCATTTGTCAGCTTATCAAGGTACTGCTTTCACTTTAGGCAGCCGTTGGTAGTGTGGCCTGGTCCTTGATGGAATGCACAATACTTTGTATGATCCAGCCTGGTAAGATTGTCTTTCATGGGTGGCGGCAGTTCGAACCAAGGTTTGTTCTTGAGCTTGCAGAGAATTTGGCCGATTGGAACTGTGAAATTGGTGAATGTTTCAGGCCCTGAGTCTTCTTTGGTAGAGGAACGTTCCATGTGCTTCTTTTCTGACTCGTTTTTGTTAGACTGTTTGGCCTCATCCCATAATGCATGCTTTTCTACCAAAGCATATGAAGCTGCTAGGGTTAGTTCTTCTCTTATGATCAGTTTTTCGAATAAATGATGTTCGGTGGGAAGCCCATTTCTAAATGTTGCCATTGCTATGTCCTCGTTGTAGCCAACAATCTTGGCCTTCTCAACTTTGAACCTCTTGACATAGTCGCGAATTGTCTCCCTAGGGTCTTTTACCATGCTGAAGAGATGGTCGGATGTCTTTTTGATTGAGCGGTTAGATGAATACTCCTTAATGAAAACAAAGGAAAGTTCATTGAAACTCTAGATGGACTACGGCGGTAGAGTGTGAAACCAATCTTGCACCTCGCCTTGTAGAGTTGTGGTAAAAATTTTGCACATAAGTGCGTCGTTGTTCCTGTAGAGGATCATGGTACTGCGGTAGTGCTTGAGATGTCGATCTGGATCTTCGTCGCCCTTGTATAGAGTGAAGTGAGGCATAGTGAACCCGCGAGGTGGATCTGTCCGCTCGATCTCATTTGTGAATGGTGACATGCTTATGTTGGTCATGTCTCGTTGAAGTGCATCGTCAACAGGCTCGTTATGTTGGAAATTGCGCAATCGTTCAGTTAGGAGCCTCTCAACTTCTTCTTGAATTTGCCTCTGCTGAGGCAGTGGAACTTTCGATTGCCCCCGGTCATGACCTATAGGTTTGGGCCACTATTCCCTATGATCGACTCATTTATGTCGCGGCTGCGGTGCATGTGGCATGTTCCTGGCAGGCAAACAGGTTGCTCGGAGGCTGTCGGTTAAACTTGAGTCCGATTGAGTGACTGCTTCTATCCGTCTACCGTGATGCCTACTCCAATGTGAGGTGGAGAATACTCATTGTGAGCTTAGCTGTGAATGAACACTTCGTCTAGAAGGTTGTCCATATTGATAATCGGAGTGTGACTTCAACCGTGAACGTATGTTCGTCCATGGGCTTGATCAGAAATGCACATTCCTCCGCACTCTAAGACGAGAGTATACGTTATCCCAAGGACCCAAGTGGGATCGTAAACTGCCAGAATGTTCGGATCGTGGTTGGTTGATGGGCTGCTTGCTGGGACGCTGGTGGAGAGGTTCATCTGCCCTTGTCCTACTTCGGAACACCTCATCCGAGGCACGTTAGATCTCGGTGCGTTGTAAGAGTTGATTCACCAAGGTTGTTTGTTGTGCAAAGATGTTCGCTAACTCTATCACTTGTCAAGACAAGTGTTGTTCGCCATTTAGATTGGAAGAGGTTAGAAAGAATGTGCCTCCTTGAGCAGTGGAAGTGTGGTAGGCTCCAGGCGTGAGATTTGAATTGGGAAATGTCAAATTCGTGGAGAAACGTGGTGGAAATACCCCTGGTTCTATCGTAAGCCCATAAATTTAAAGCGAGGACAATTGAACTAATCTTGGACCGATTTGGGCTGCTTGGAATGCCACGGGAGCAGGCTGGGCTGCGAGAGTAGGCTAGGCCACGGGAGCAGGTTGGGCAGCGAGAGCAGGCTGCTCAGTGCGTGATACTCGCGAATGCGAAGCTTGGGCTCGGCTTGGCAACGCATTGGGCTCGCATTGGGCATGAAGTGACATGGCTCGGGCCGTGGCTTTGGTGGCGTGGGCCTTGGATAGCACAGCTTGGGCCGTGGTGGTGAAGCCATGGACCTCGCCGCGGGTGATTGCCGTGGTGGCCACCGAGGTGGTTGCCATGGTGGAGCGTTGTGGTAGTGGTGTCGCTCCCTCTAAGATCACATTTAGTCTCGTGGATTGCCGCGGTCCCATTTCTTGAATATTGGAATTTTCACTCGTGAAATTTTTTAAATTTCTAGCCATTGTATTTCTCTTTTACGTTTTATCAAAGAATCTGTGCAAATAAAAAATTCTAATAATAAGAACGTACGAAAAAATGCAAGTGGACTAGAAAATAGAGAAAAACCTTTTTATGCGAGAGTCTTCTACGAGTGTGTGACTCTGCTCTCAATGAAAGCACAAATTTGTGGATGCAAATTTATTCCTCCTTAATCTTGGACAAAATTGCACCTACAAAACAATTAACACATTTGGTTAAGGTCAAAAGCCTCACGTGCCCACGATGAATAGGGAGGGCTTTGGCCAAATAACCTCTTATGCCAAAGTTAGAATTTAAAGAGAAAAGTGTTTACAGAGTTTTTGGAGTTTTGCAAAAGTGTGGACTTAGGTTTTTAGAGAAAAATGGGTAGTATGTATAGGGCATGGCCGGTCCCCTTTGGAGAAAAGGTGGCCTGCCTTTGGGATGCTTTTTGTGTGCATTTTGTGGTTTAATGTGTGAGTTATTTGGCAATTAATGGATTAATTAGGTAATTAATCCATTAATTAGCCAATTAACACATTTTTGGAATGAATATTTTGGAGGTTATGTAATTTATGTGGAATATTTTGTAAGTTATGGAATGATAGCTAATTGATTAGCTAAAAAAGGGAAAAAGAGGTAAAAAATATATGGAATGAAATAGGTTTTGGGAGTTACGTTGTAAGAGGGATTTGATGAGATGGTTTTTGAATTGTTACTTTTTTTTGGCACTTTTGACTTGGTTGAGGGATGACTGCACGCTGTTCGCGCGTAAGAATCTCATTGTACCTCAAGGGTACTTTTGTCCTATTTTGTCTAGAAATTCATGTGTCGCCTTGTGATTATTTTTTGTTTCACAATATATTCAAACAAATATGTTTTCACAAATGAATCTAGTTAATATATCATAATGTAACAAATGAATCTAGTTAATATATCATAATGTAACATGTATGATCTAGAACCATCCTCTTAATCTAAGAAGCTCAAGTTAACAAAAACACAAAAATACAAAGCTCTTGCACAACACGGTGTAACAATTCACTAAAATATATAAAGGTAACATGCTATCGGACAAAGAATAAAAAAAAAGGTTATTCGATGGAACAATGTCCAAAAACTTCAAAGGTGTTGAATCAAAATCAACCGATCTCCAACATATAGACCGAACTCCACGCATATATTCAACAGCAACCAACCGAACCCAGCTATAAAGTTGTTCGATCAACCAGGTCCGAACTCCCTTGGCGACTAGATTTTGTTCAAACCAATATTTTTCACTTTATCTCAACCCTAAACATTACATAATCAATCCAAGCTGTATTCATACCCAACCAATCTCAAACTCGTTAATATGAATTTAAATTGTAAGTTTTAAGGTCTCCAGTATCAACTCTCCAACCTAGTAAACTCATACTACCAATATATTGAGGAAATTAATGAAAAGTAAAGAGAGTGGAGGGCGATGGATTAGTGACACTTTAATGTACGGTGGTTTCGTCCCGAAGCTATTGCATACGAAAAAAAGAGAAAAAAAAACAAGAAAACCAAGAGAAGACACGTACTGTCAGCCGAACTATAGAGGAGAAAGGATGTTTGGATGAGAAGAGAAAATAGATAAATTAGTGAGAGAAATACTTGGAATAATGGCTGGGTGGGGAGAGCAAATAATTTATACTTTTAAAATGGTGTTGGATGTGAAGAGATTGCTCGGTGTCAAGAGTTAAAATTGGGTGTGACTAGAAGCTTACAATAAAAACTAAAATCATACCATTGAACCTCCTCGTCCCACCCTTTTTAATAGGACTTGCACCTGAACTACGGCCGATAAAGAAAAGCTTCCCGACCTACCACTGACCAAGGGAGCAAAATCTTGCAACTAAACCGACCCAACGAACTGAACTCGACGATGAAAGACATCATGCCACATTTGATACCGACAGAAACCTTAAACCCCCAAAGCGATTAAACTGTCGATCGGAAAGGGGTACCCCCTCATTTTTTATCGAGAAAAAAAAAACCGTAACTTTATGAAACTAACCGTCTAGTTTAGTGCTCAGACAAAATATGTATCGTCACAACAAATTAATTATAAGAATTATAAATAAAGTCCCCATATACCCTCATTGCTTATTCTCTAGAAAAAGAAGTTCATGACTCGTAGGCCTTCCACCTCCACGCGGCATTGCTCCGCCAAGCTTTCGCCCATGGTCTAAAGCTGGAGGATTGGAAGGCTTTCGCTGGTTACCATTTTTGTCCCGTTGCATCCCTTCCTTTCATTCTGGACAGTTCAAAAGAAATTTGATGACTTGAAGTTGTGTCACGTATTTAATGAGCCTTTTTTTTATATATTTTATTGTTTTTGTTCAATAAGAAAAATTAAATCAGGCTCGCTAAATATGTGGCACAATTTTAAACCATCATATTTGTGACAGCCCGTCCCTAATTTTAAGAATTATTAAAGTTTTAATAAAGGATTTTACAAAAATGCCATTTTTGGACACGCGCATTATTTGAGGTTAATCGTTGTGTCGTGCCATCTAAGATTTTGTTTTCTTGACATATCCTTGTAGTATTCTTCACTACGAACGCGTGGGCGTAGTTGGTTCGTGATTTGGAGTTTTATCGAAAAAATTATTAACGTTTGAAATTTGGGATTTTAAGGAATTATAATTTTAGTAAAATCTAAAATTTCTTTTATGAAAATGGACGGCCCAGATTTAATGAAGAATGAAATGGATGGTTAGGATGAGAGAAAGGTTTTGTGTGTGTATGTATGTGAAGAAAAAGAGGAAGTTGTCGGGGAGGAAGGAAAAAACAGAGACAGGAACAGGATTGGGCAAGGCTGCCCAATCTGGAAACAAGGAGATGAGGCCGAATGGGGAGGAGAGAGAGAAAGTTGAGTGACGAATCAGGGAAGAGAACAGGAGGGAAAGGAGGAAGAAAGGAAATGAGAGGATCGGCCGGATCCTGGCTACCCGCGCGCACCCAACCCACTGACCCAGCGGAATTCCGGCAGTTCTGAGCCGTTTTTCGTCCCATCTCCACGTGCAAGCATCACCACATCTCTTCTCCTTCATCATTCTCTCAATACTCGACAGGAATTGGGCCAAATCCGCGACATTTGACGATGGTGACTCCGGCGGGTCTTACGTCGATTGTCCTAATTTTGAAACATTTTCTTCCAATTGGCACTACACATACACTTCCCTTGAGGCCTAGAACAATGCCCAATTGTTGGTTGGAGCAGCTGAGTTGAATTGAGGACGAATTGAAGAGCACTACATATAGGGTTTTGTACGGGTTTGATGACTAGGCCAAATTGGCCTTGGCTTCAGGTATAAAGTTTACTCTACTCGTTGAGATCTTCAAATCTGCAAATTTTGGTAATTTTTGGAAATAGTTGGATTTTCCGGCGAGCCGGGGCGGCCAACCGCCACCCGCGGCGGCCCGTGCGGCAGCGCGTGGCCAATGGCCCGCCAATGTCATTCTTAGCATGTGTTTAAGGTTCTAGGTTCAGTTTTGATAATTGATGGACTTAAATTGAGTAATTGAACCTAAGTTCGTTTCGATTCGTGGTTAGGTGAAAATGTGAATTGACGATCCAACCGTCGGATCGTCACCAAACTTTGATACGTTGTAATACATAATATTTGAGGATTATAGGAACTTACGGATCGGGAATCCGACTTACGGATCTTTCGGAATTGGAGTT